TCACCATCTCCTCAATCTCTAAGCCATAACTCCCAACCAATTTTACATTAATAGCTATCTTCAATATCTCTTCATACAAGCTTCTTAAATGAATCTCCACCATTATATTAATAGATACAATGTCTTTCTTTTCCAAAGTCTCCATAACTTGTAAAACATCATTTGAAAATCCTTCTTCTTCAATAACTTCAGAAATAAACTCAATACTCAAAATCATACCAACTCTTTTTATTTATTTTATAATATTCTTAATTGATCCTCTATATATAAAATCAAAATCTTTAATCCTTTGAAAACTTACAAATCTATCCTTTGTCAAATTCCAAATCTTACAACCAAGAGGGAGGTGTTGACGTTCAAAATTCTCAGTTGTATGATTAGAGCTAGAATAGCAGGACAGGGGTAAGACACTCCTTAGTTTTGAAAGGTCAACAATCGGATGGTTAACAAGAAAAGAAACATTACATTGAGAACACTTTGTTGGATTGGTGATTTATGCGAGAAGGCTTGCTGCTGCTTATGATTATGTGAAGCTGAGAGGTGGAAACAACAGCATGAATGTGTAGGTTATGAGTAAGTTTTTGCTCAATATTTGATTCTTTTGTCAGATTTCCTCGACGTTACTCAGGGCCAACGAGGTTGGAGGGTGGAAACTTACTTTGGGGGACAACTTCTGAAATTGCTGCTACTCCTGGCCATCTTAGAGATCTCATCAGAGTTACTACTTGATCGGGTTGGGCAGGGCAGGATTTCTGAGAATGGATGAGGAAAGATCCAGTATAACCCGAGTCTCGGTGTTGTTTCTCCCCAGCCCTCAGAGCAAAAGAAGTTCAAACTGTCCCGTCAGAACGGAGATGAGTTTGCCTGACTCGGCAATTGCCAAAACCACTCATCGCAAATGACACTCTTGCATGGAAAGTGTTATGCAAATTGATGAACACAGAGAACACGTTGTCTTTCAAGATCGAGACCCGTGAAGACAAGGCTTTATCAGTTCCTGGTTTGCTCTTCTGTTGGCCAAAGAAAATACTTTGATATTTACGCGACTGCACATGTGCTGGTGAAAGAGATTCAGCTCACAGTTGCAGCAGGGAGGATTTAATTCTGCTCAGTTTAAAAGCACAAGGGAGAAGGATACCACCAGGCAGTGAAACAAACGCCGAGAGAGAGAGAGCTACTTGCTTGATTTGGATTCGTTCCTAACACTACACAAATTGTGGATACACATGCTCCGCTCTTTTGTCACTGACAAAGCTTTGCCGAAGCAACAACTTGAGTGAAAAATGCCAACCATCGCTCTTGTGCAACAAACCCTACTTAGTGGCTGAATCTCATAACGGCATGTTGTAGAAGGATATGAAACCATAGAAATAGAAATGTGAATCTATAATATCAACGAGATTCAACTGATTTTCTTGTTACAGGTATTCAATTTAGTATCCAATTATGGAAGATAATTAAGAGTTTTGTGAAATAATTAAATACTTGTATAGATGTTAAACATATCATTTTTTTTTTAATATTGCAGTAAACTATGTTACAATAATTAGTGTTCTTCTTGATAGATATTATATGCCTTATAATAGAACTATCCAATGAAGAGTGCAATTTTATTTTTTTTGTTGATTGAAATATACATTATTTTATTAATAGAACTATTGAATGAAGAGTGAAAAATAATTTTTGGTTGATTGAAATGTAAATTACTTTATTAGCTTGGTGATGTTTCTTTCAAAAATGACACATTACTACTTTTTTCTTGATTGATAATAAAAAACAAACAAATATGTTTGGATATTTGACAAGATAATGTTCTACATGAGTTGATTCTATCATAGAATAAAAAATTGTGATATTATATCATTTTTATAAAAAGATACATAAACAAATTTTAATTTTAATTTTTTCTTTACAAATACATATATAAAGACAATATATTCACTAAAAAAGAAAGAAAAAAAAAGGATAAAAAGGTAGTTAGAAGATAAAAAAGAACTAAAATAATTATTGCTAAATATAAAAAGACTTGAGAGTCATAAACAAAGATAAGAATATATAATCAAGATTGAAGATGGCATTAGTATTATCTCTACAAATACTAATTATAAAGAAGGTCTTGTAGAAGCTTCCTACATATTACAAAGCTTGTAGCTCAAGTATCAAGCTGTAGATAATCTCTAAAAAAAACATTTAGCAAAAATTTCAACACCCATATGATAGATCTATAAAAGTCTAAATATATAATTTACATCTAAGATATATTTTTAAAGCTTTTCAAGAAAGATATTATCTTTCCAACTTGTTTATATCTACTTCTATTCATTTTTAATTTCTTAATATGGATATCCATTACGCCTTGTAGCATAAAAAAATAAGATACTTTAATTAAATACATGGTTTTATTTGTAGAATTATTTATAACAAAAACTTTAACAACATTAAAAATAAAAAATAAAAAAATAAAAATCAATAGTTTAAAAAAATATTAAAAAATATTAAAAAAAGATAAAAAAGATAAAAAAGATTAAAAAAGATAAAATTATATATATATATTAATTAATAAGAATCATAAGATAGTAAAGAATCTTTTTTAAAAATACATAGAATATTTGAATAGCTTAGGATAATATTTCAATATATACAAATAAGTTATATAGTTTATATACAATCGAATATTTTGAATCATTTGTTTTGAATATGCAAATATATATATGGAGGTCATAAAGAAGAGAGTATATTATACAAGAAGGCATTTGTAAACTTAATTTGTACATTGCATGGTAATAAAAAAAATTAACTTATTGCATCTAAAGATATCTTATAGAAGAGATTAAAATAAGATCATTGATAGCTAATAATTTAAAAAAAGACCAAATCATATAAAAATTTTAAATAAGATTATATTTTTAAATAATTATTGGTAGTAAAATTAAATAAATGTAACAAAAAAAATACTAAAATATCATTTAAACTTTTGGCAATTACTACTTATTTTTAATCTATGTATTCATATTTTTATAAAGCATTTAACAAAGCTTATTTATAATTTATACTTAAACTCATTATAATATGATCTTATTAATGTAATCAATATAAAAATCTATTATATTATATTATGAAACTAATTATTTTTAATATGATATGTATAATTTATTTATTTCTTAGAAAATTAATACTTAATAAATGCAATTGACTGATTTAAAAAAAAAGAAAGAAAATAATAAATAAGATTATTTTTTATAATAAAATATTTATCATAAACTTATATGTAATATTAAGATCACTAAATTTAAAATTCAAATATTTATAAAACTATATATGTCTAGTTATTGAAGTTTTAATTTTTACACATTAATAAAGAAAATTAAATAAATTTAGTTATTTAATTCTTTACTTTTATTTTTAAATATTTTTATATAAATTTTATAGTTTAAATTTTATGTTAAGTTTTGGAATTATATTAATTATTCAATAAAAATAATTAAATATTTGTGAAGTTATTATCTATAATTATTTTTTTCTTCTAAACTTCTTACCAGAGCATACAAATATTTTTGATTAATTAAAATTGTGTCTTAACAAACATAGTATAAAATAAGTTATCTTTATTTTTAATTTATTTTTAATTCTTATTATAAAATTAAAAAATATTATGATATAAAAAAGAAAAAAATATTAATATTTTTTTATAGTCAATTTAAAAAACATATGTATTTAGATTATAACAAGAATAAAAACAATCAACATAAATTTATATGTATTCTTAAAATTATTAACTCAAAAAACTAATCTTATTTCAAAATACCATAATCCTCAAAAATTAATAATATTACATAGATTTAAAATAAAATTATTCATTGGCATCAATATTGGTTAAAACATTTAAATGTATGAAATGTAATCAGCATATATTATTTTTCATTAAATTTTAAAATATTTTAGTATAAAAAATTTATGTTGTTTTATATTTATTTTTTTATATTCCACTTTTTTAATAAATATTTATTCTAATTTAAAACACAATTAGTTTATATATAATCCTAATAAAAGTAACTTATAATACAAATTCAAGATAATAACATATTTAAATAATGATACCAATAAAGTTTTTGATGTGGCACCTCACACCTTCTATTTAGTTAAATATATGTATCATCAAAACTACAATAACTTGAAAACTATATGCACAAAAATCCTTTTAAAGTGATTTTCAATTATGATGGTGTTTTTTTATTCATAAATTAATTTATTGCATGTTTTCTATTCATAAATTAATTTAACGCAATTGCTTATGTGTTTTGTGACAGTATTACATTTTATTCTGCTACATTACTTTCTATATTTCGGATATACATTGCATGACATTCATGATACCTCCACTCATGACACTCGTCGAAAGCCAATGTAGGTCTTCAATGCGTTGGGACAATAATGTGGACTTGTCCAGCCAAGTTTACAGACTCAGTCAATATGCTTCACAGAAAGCAGGTTGCCCGAGGTTTCTCAGCTCGCAAGTCCACTTCGAGGGCCCATTTGCTTTCGAAACACTACAGATGCGGTGTAAAGAGTGGTACATTTTGTACGCCCACAATCTACTTTGCATGTGCTGGAAGCAATTTCAAGTGCCACAGATCCCCGCTGGAAACAGCGTCCCTTAGTCGTTTTCAGAGAATCTTCGTTTTGCTAGCAACAAACGTGAGGGCCAAACCATGACTTAAACTGTTCACGCGTGAAAGGTTGAGAGAGGTGATGAAGCAAGCCCAAGCACAACAAGATAACCACTTCAAATACATCTAGAACTTTGAATGCCGGCCCTTACTTTTACTTGAATGGTATATCATGGCGTGTATTTCAATGGACCCAGACAAAAGTTTTCGAACATTGTGTGGCTCCCTACTTCATTCCATAAAAACAGAGTTCAGACTCCTATCTAGCTTGGTAGATTGCTAGGGTGAATTTTTTACACTTCAACAAGACACACGAACGTGGGCGTTGCAAAGAATATTCACATCTCTGGGCAAATTGGATTACAGCTACCCTCTTCGAGCTTCCGAGAAGTTGAAGGGACCTCCGTGTTGAAATTCCCTGCAGAGGAAGTGCCAATAAAGGAGTTCTACACTGATAATTGACAAAGCGCCTATACAAGAGCTATCCGCTGATAGGATCTGCTGTGTTCCGGCCACATGTTCACACAAGGGCTCACTTGCACCACCTCCACACATACTTCTGCAGTTTGCTGCTATTCAGCTGATTTGTCGGATTCCAACCCCCGAAGCTCCATCTCCGAGTTCTTCTGGACAGGAAATTTTCCTTCCGAGCACCACAAATTCTCCACAACTTGGTCAGCTCTTCGTAATCAACGTGGCTCTTGTCACCTGAGCTGTACCAAAAATTGTCCAACCGACCTCGGAAGATTGTTGTCTTGGGAACTAGACTAGATGGTTTCAAGGCATCCAGCTCTCAGGAAGATTTTGCACTTCAAGAGCTGTGACTGTCCACAGATCGCCTAACCAGCGGTTGATATGCGGACGGTTCCATGAAAAGAAAGTTGGAAGAACACCCCTACGTTTATAATCCAGTTCTCATCTCTGGGAACCATCGAATGTAACTGTATTTACACAGCTCTTTCTGCTGTTCTCACATCGGCAATCTAAGTCTATTGGCTAGGTTCTTGTTCCTCTCTTATGTATCGAATATTGTGTGTACGTGTCTGTGTTCACAAAGAGACCTCCAAGTTACGATCGTTACACACAGCTACTGAGATCAGGTGAGTTGCAGAACTTGTCGGTGTGTTTATAGCCGCGGAACGTTCAATAGTTATGAGGTCTTCCCTGTCTTCTGATGTCAAAGTTCAATGAATCTTACAGCGGCGCACACATGTTGAGGAACATCGACGTCCTATTCACAAATTTCAGGTCAGTGCAGTGTCATACTTCACTTCATTTTTGATCTGTAGAAGTTGAGAGTTGTTCCATCGGCGCTCGAATTCTATGATTGAGGCACTTTGGAGTGTGACCCTGTTAGTTTCTTGAATGAATGAAGACACCGTGACGACCATGTAGTCCCTAGCTCAAGAGACAACTGGTGTCTGGTGCTGAGGTGAAGACAAGAGCCTTCAGAGGGTTCAGCCCAATGGAATATCTGATTCTTTTTGCCGATTCAACCTACAAGTTCTGGCTGTCTAGGAGTACGATACACTACTTGGTTGGGACCCTCAAGAGTAATACCACCGAAACAGGATTCCAGTTTGCTGAACTTTATCTGTGCAGGGTTGAATCGATCGCGCTTGAAAACATGAAGGCAATCGTACTTGTTGTGACCATCTGCCTCTCTCTCGTGGTGCTTGCCTCGATTCACGTCGTAGCTGGGCAAGAGACGTGGTACGGCATTGATGGGAATAACGACGCAGCCAACTCTGTGGATAGGGCAGGTGAAGCCAAAGTGAGTGTTAGAAACCCTAACTGTAGCATAATGTCCACTCTGCTGCTGTAGCAAAACACCAGTGTAATAACTTGCCTACATATTGGTTGACGGATTTGTTGATTCCATCTACCCGAAACAGGTGATGCGCTGGGATGACGAGGTCAGGGCACGCACGGGACGAAGGCTACTGCAAGTGAGCGATCAGGGCGACCAAACGGCGCTGCTGCAGTTCAAGCAGGGAGTTCAAGACCCTGCTGGTATCCTCCATAGCTGGAACCTGACCTTGAATCCAGATGTGTGCGACTGGGGCGGCGTCACATGCACCAATGGTACCAATCCTCGAGTAGTGCACTTGTACCTAACAGGTATGTGTGCCGATGGTATCGATTGGTCCCATGTTTGGAGCTGGAGTTCGGAAATCAAACTAGAATCTGAAGAGTGGAGTATGTGTTGGTTATGCCGCTGCAGGCAGATTCAACGCAAGTTTGAGGGGCGGAATCTCGCCGAACATCTCGGGGCTCACCGTGCTGCGAAACCTGACGCTGTCGAATCACTTTTTACGCGGAAGCATTCCCGAAGAGCTGGGGACCCTCTCCATGTTGGTTGGTCTCAATCTGTCAGGGAATAATCTTACTGGTAGTATCCCTGCAGAACTTGCAAAGCTCACCGAGTTGAGGAGCCTCGATCTGTCCGGGAATAACCTAACGGGTGATATTCCATCAGAATTGAGCAACCTCTCCTCATTAGTCAGCCTCGACCTTGGTATGAACAACCTGACAGGCGGAATTCCTGGAGGACTGGTGAAGCTGTCTTTGCTGGTTAGCTTGGATCTGTCAGAGAATAATCTGGTGGGCGATATTCCTATGGGAATCGGAAACCTCTCTGCCTTAGAGAACCTGCAGCTTAAGGCAAACGGGTTAAGTGGAGCAATTCCTGCAGAGTTGGGGAATCTGAAGCAACTGAAGAATTTAAGATTGCACGACAATTACCTGACGGGCTTTATCCCGACGCAACTTGCATCCTGTAAATCGCTGGAGAGGCTGGATGTCGGTGCCAACAATCTCACAGGTAAATTGTGGCCTCAGTTGGCGCAATGCAGGAATTTGGTGGACCTTGATGTGTCTTCAAATGGGTTGGAAGGTGGAATTGAGCCAGAGTTTGGAACCTTGGGTAATCTGCAGAATTTTCTGGGCATGCATAACAACTTTAATGGCACCATACCTGACACCTTTGGCTCAAACTGCTCCAACCTTCGAAGCTTTTCTGTAAATAACAACAAGCTAACAGGGCCGATCCCGACTGGGTTTGCCAACTGTCCCCAGTTGCAGGGGTTTCTGGTCGGGTTCAACAAGATAAACGGAACAATTCCAATGGGGTTTGGGAATTTGCAGAAGCTGTCTGTTCTTTACTTCCAAAATAACGACATTGAAGGGCAGATTGATTTTCTAGAGAACTGCTCGGCTATGGGGCTGATTCACGGAGAGAACAATCATCTCACCGGCCCACTTCCAAGGTACTTTTGGCCAAACTGTTCGCACTTGACGCACCTATTTGTATCGGGGAACAATTTCACGGGTGAAATTCCGGCATCTCTTGCAAATTGCCCGCTTCTGCAGAACGTCGGCGTTAGCTGGAATAAGTTGACGGGCGTCATCCCTGAGGCTTTCAGCAAGAGCCCGAAATTGATGAATTTACAGGTTGACCACAACAAGCTTACTGGTAGTATACCTGCAAGCTTTTGTTCAAATTGGTCTGACATGGAAATTCTCTACTTTCAAAACAACAACCTAACGGGGACGATCCCTGTGATGCTTGGGAACTGTCCAAATTTGCAGCAACTGCATGTGCAAGAAAATCCACATTTGACTGGAATAATACCGGAGGAGTTGGGACGGCTGCAGAAACTGGAAAATTTGGTAGCTTATGACACACGAATTTCCGGCGAGATTCCAGCATCACTTGGAAACTGCACGCGGTTGCAAAACCTTGTACTATTTAACAATACACACAACGGAACCATACCAGCCTCTCTTGGAAATTGCTCTGGACTAAAAATACTAATGTTGTCCAATAACAATCTAGCGGATGTGATCCCTGACAGTCTCGGCAATTGCAGCGTCCTTCGATTGCTTGATCTCTCTAAAAATCAACTAACCGGGGCCATACCATCTTCCTTTCGAAATTTAGTCTCTGCGGAAACAATATTCCTTGCAAGCAACAACCTTTCTGGAGACTTTGTTCTTGATATGAGCAAGTTGACCAACTTGGAATCGGTGTCGCTTAGCAACAATCTCATGGCTGGGGATGTGTTCGCATCCCTCGCAACCCTCAACGCAACCAACAACTTCACGGCGGTGGATTTCACCTCGAACGAGCTGACTGGCACACTTCCTGCAACTTTTGACGTAAAAAGGTTGACGTCTCTAAAAGTTATGCTGTTTGGGAGCAACAATCTCCATGGCTCAATCCCATCGTGGGTTTGGACCCTTCCGAAACTACAGTTGCTGGACCTGAAGAACAACAGCTTCTCCGGACAGTTGTCTGCCTACTTCGACAACCTTCGGGGGTTCATCGACGAATCTTCCAACAACCTTAATATCAGCTCGGACGGATCCTCATCAAGTTACATTCCGAGTGTGACCATCGAGGTTGCAGGCGCCCATGTAACGTACTCCACCACCCTTGACTGGGTTATCTCCATGCAGTTGTCGCGCAACAACCTCTCGGGCGTAATCCCGACCGATATCACCAAACTTGTGAAGATGAAGTCTCTGGATCTGTCAAGGAACCAGTTTGAAGGTGAAATACCAACGAATATGGGTGCCCTTACTCAACTCCAATTCCTGGATCTTTCCAACAATCGACTTAACGGCAGCATTCCGCAGTCCTTCATAAAGATCTCCAATTTGGCAACGCTTTTTCTTGCAAACAACTCACTATCTGGTGCGATACCCTCTGGAGGAACTTTGCAGTCATTTTCTAATTCAAGCTGGTTACCTGGGAACAAAGGGCTGTGCGGCCCGCCACTAGATCCGATTCAATACGCTTGTTACGCAGCACAGTCGGATTCTGGAGACTTGTCCTTCACTGATCTATTTGCTGTTCCTGGTTTGGTGGTGGGATTCGTAGTGGGTTTTGCATCGATTGCGTTTTTGTGTGTTGCGTGGAAACCAGCGAGGAACTTCGTCCATCCCAATGTGAAGAAACCCCAAAGTATGTGGACGCCGAAGAGTCACTAACCTGAGTCGGTAAAGAGAGATTCCAGTCGACTATTCTTCTCTGGTTTGACAATGGGTGTGGAGAAGCTGTCCAGCATGTGTATCGGCGTCTGCACACAACGAGTTTCTATGAAGGACCAGATGGTTTGGTTGTCTGTCAGAAGTACAATTCTCCAACTATGCCGATGAGCGCTTAGACCGCTGCTGAGATGTTCCGAATTTCTGGACTTCGTCAATCACAGCGAAGTCTGATCTTATAGTGGCATGAAGACGTCTTGAAACACAACGGAACTTGAAGTTTTGCAGGTTGTGATAGGATTTTTTCAGCACAATGACCATGAGATTGTTCATATGAGCAGGTATTCGTACATGTGCAAATTGGTGTAACCACAAGGTACTGTTATTGTCAAAGTAGGCAGCGTGTTGCACTCGTGGTTTCCAATCCATGATTGATGTACGAACTCTTTTGAACTTGAACTCGGCTGTTGTTTTTGATGTGGTAGTTCAGTTCTTAGTCACAATGGCTTTGCCTGAGTATATTATTTACACGGCAAGTATGGTTTATATTAAAATTGGCTTTTGCCCAACTGTTACATGGAATGTTTGAATATAGGGTATCTTTGTCAAAGTGGTGTCTTTGTTTGAAACATGGAATTGAATTCTAGAATACTGGAAACTCGGGTTATTGAATGAAGAATTTTTTCATGTTCTTCTACTTCTGGCTACCAGAAACTTTAATTGAATGAAGTAGCTTAATTAACTGAAGACCCTGCCCTTGGTTCTATTTTTTTTTTTAGCTTTTACCTAATACAGTATAAACTATTAATATACTCATAGGATGAGGTTTGCATAGAAGTCCTTATTTGTGTCGTTTCTTTTGCTTGATTCACATATTATAACTTGTTGAATTATTTTAATATAGATGGTGGTTTGTATTTTATTTGATTTTATGAATATTAAAAATAAAATCTTAAAAATTATTCATAATAAATATAATAAATTATAATAAAAAATTATGATTACAATAATATATGAATTTGTTTTTGGAAGTGGATAAAGATTTTGAGTCAAATTTTGACATTGTATTGAAAAAATCTCTATTTTTTTTTCAAGAAAAAGTACAAAGATTAAGTTAATATGTAATTCAAAAGATCAATGGCAATAAGGATTTTTGAATATTTGAAAAAAAAACCATATGATTTCTTTTACACCATATTAAGATGTAGAATTGAGAATTCTTTTTGGTGGATTTACTAATTATATGTCCCCACAACTTCTTCTACAATGGCAACATAGTTCATTGCACTCTCTTTCTTCTTTGGAGTTGTGGGTGATTGATTGGCTCCCTTAGTGGGACACCATGATGTTGGATGGCCTTCCTTTTGACAATTCAAGCATAACATCTTGTATTCTTTTTTGCCTTATTTCTATGACTGATGATATTTTTATGCAAAGTGCTTTAATTTTTTGCAATTCTAGCATACATTGATTATTGTAGGAATTTATTATCTTCAAGCTACTTAATTGTAAGGATATTGTTAATAAGAAGATTTTAGAACATAGTTGTTGTAACTTACGCTACTTTGGTATGAAATAAATGGTTGTCTTTCTCTTCTTGTCATAGACCTTTGTTATAATGTGTAGGAACCTAGATTTGCTGGACTTGCTTGGTATACATGCACTTTTGGCTATTTTTTGAATACTATACTCAATAGATCTTCATTCACAAATTGCATTAGAAGATCCTCTACTTCGACCTTATGTACTTCTATTAATCTCTTAAAATTAAGACGCTCTCTTGTTGTGTATTCAATTTTGACATTTTGTACTCTAAAGATAAGTCCTTTTTATAGTTACTTTCTTGTATTTGCACTTCAAATTTATAAGATGTACAATAAGAACCTTTATTTGGACCTTAAGCTCTTATAATTGGTTGGTTTGTAGATCCAACTTATTTTTAATTGGTAGAAAAATCAATGCCCTTTTTTGGATTTGTCTCTTTATTTGTCATGCTATCAAATTTATCTATTTTTAAATTTCTTGTACTAGCCTAAATGTTGCTACAACTCCTATCCAAGCTTTTAGAGTCATTTTTTTCTTTAAAATTAGTTTCATCAAAAGAACTATATAAATCATTTTTTTTTTTTTTTTTTTTTTTCTTCTCTCTATTTTTTCTTTTTTGCCTCCATATTTTAAGTATGTACTTATACAAAAGCTTTAAAGGACACTATGGCTTGATCTGTTGTAGTAGAATTATTCTATGCTACATAAAATTACATCTTACTAGAAAGTGCAGCCATAAACTATGTGGTATTATAAAGCATATGGTGATTTGACCAATTTTACAATTTTAAAATCAATTTTTGGAATCTTTGTAAAAATTATCAAAGAATTTATTTTTTCTTTATGCTTATTTTTCCTAATTTTACTAATAAGACACATTCAATATCAACATCCTTACATTTTTTTTTTTTTCTAAAATACTCAAATAAAGTAATCTCAATCTTATTTTATATTAGCATGCAATCCAACATACTATAGAATAGCCTTTCTATGTAAGAGACTTGATAAGATAGACAACTTAAGTACCTCCACTACCATATTATATGAATTCTTGCTTGAGAATGCAAAGGGCACCTGGTTGTAAAAGATAAAGTTATATTTTACAAATATCCAAGAAGCCAAATAGATTTCAACCATCTAAATATAAAGTAATTCAAATTTTAATTTAAAATTACTTAAAGCCAATACAAAGTACTCAAATATACTATTTTTAGTAAATTTAACTATAATTAAATTTCAATTGCCTTATTACTTTCATAAGTAGGTAATTTTGATTTCTCCTTGTAAGCCTTAATTCTAGTCAATGAATTTCAATAAGCTACAACTCCTAACCTAACTATCCATTTAGTAAATTTTTTTGTACACAAATGCTACTATAAGTCTTTAATATGATTTCAAACATTCAGCCCAATCTAACTTACAAATTGTGAAAAAAAGTCCAAAAACTGAACTTATGTTACTTGGTTGCCAACTTAAAAGTTGATGTAAATGTTTTAGTAGTGATTTTTCTTTTTCCAACTATTAACTTCAACTCAAAATTAGTATGTAGTCTAATCTTAAAGTTCTCTATGACTATGCCAAATTTCACCTTGATTCCACAAATAGATCTTTAGATATCATAGAAACCCTATTCAACCTCAAACTACAAACTTTTAATACCATCTTATACCAAAACCCAGATATCTCTCAACTGCACCATTAAATTAATACAAAATTTTATATACATTTAGCACATCCAATGAACGAAGTACTTTCAAATTTTGAACTATGGATGTGATACCAATTGTACAAACTAGTTGAGAGTACTAGCCCTAATTATATTGTATAAATTCCAAATCACCAATACAAACCTTGACTTTGAACAACACTTGCAAAGTCATTCCAAACCCTCTGTAAATAAGCCTTATATCTCTGAAATTAGCATGATACTAGCTCACTAATTCTAATTACCAATCTTTGAATGCCATCTTTTTTTTTTCCTTAGATAGTTGTTTTAGTGGCTCAAGGTCTAATTTTGATCCTATCCTATATATGATTAAATATTAAAAATTTATTTTTGATTATATTTTTTTCATATAGTTGTGTTATAATATGACACCACTCTATTGGTTTTACTAATTTTCCTAAATTTTACCAACTATTAATTTGAGTTATCATTGCATTTAAAAAAAAAAAAAAAATCATAATAGATTTGTATATGCTAAAAAGCCATTACGGATTCTTCTATTATTATGGAAGTTTTGCTTGCTTCAAAATTATTGAATAATGTGGATGTTCTGCTTCTCAAATTAAGCATAAACTTGTCACAAGGATTGGTGCAGATGTTGCTCTCATCAAGATTTACCACCACAAATTCTTTGTTGGATTTTAGTTCATCCTAACTAACATTTATCAATAGTATTTCATATTTGGGCCAAGCTTGTCTTGCTACACTTTTCATTTGAGGTATCACCCATGTCTAAATATTTAAATTACTATGGCCAATTCATAATAATTTTACAAAAATTTGGTTGACTTTTTTTGCATTACAAGTACTAAGCAATATAACTCATTTGCATCTCACCTTATAGATATCAAAGATGTGGGTCCTTGATAATATCACCAAAAAAAACAATATAACTTTATCATTTACTTATCCATTAGTTTGGAATCTATATAAACTTATTTTTTTCATTAATAGATACCAAATCAATAAAATTATCAATCAAAAATACAATACAAGCCTTACTAGCACTTGTTGTCATAGACATATATATTTATCTAGATAAGAAGTATAAAATAAAAAGTAAATGTAAATAGATTTGATATTATCTTAAAACAAAGCTTTTTAGAAGTTGCATAGATATGTATTTGATTTTATATGTATTTATAGGTGATTAATAGATTAGAAACTTAACGAATAAGTTAACCATATATCAAACATGTAACTAACTTGTGATACAAGCTAATAATGTGGTGTGCATATAAAAAACTTACGTTACAAGTTAAGACACATGTCTTGCAAATTAGATACATTGAAGGTCCTATAAAATATTGCTACATAGCTTCTAATTAGATAGTATATATGGAGGCAAAAGTAAAGTATTTTCCATTCTTATCAATGCCTTTCTAGTCCTTAGACTTATTTCAAGACTTTTTAGTCTTCTTGTCTTTGGTAATAGTGTTTTTAGTTTCAATACTATATTAATTTTTGGTGAATATTTATTCTTTTTGAATGACATAAGAATATATTGAGTTTTTGATTCTTCAAGATTCATGTCCTTGATAATTTGAAAAGAATCCTAACTTATTTTTGTTGTTTTATGTTAGAGGTGAGTGAACTATCCCACTTCTATTGTTGTGTTTTAAAGATTGTGGACTACCGACCTTTAGACTCACTTTTGATTTTTCTAATATCGATTGTTTTTTTTAAAAAAAGTGGACTATCTTACTTTGTAGAAATTTTTATTTGATATTAGAGGTTGTGGATTATTCTCTTTTAATTTGACTTATAGATTTGTTTGAATTTTCTATGGAAAGAAAAGTTATAGATGCTATTCTTGAAAAAAAAAAAAAAAAAATTGCCACTATTACAAATCTTCATAAGCTTGTCAATACTTTTAGAATAGAAATTTCATATATTTCTAATGTCAACTTTGGAGGTATTATTTTGATACCTATAGAAGAAGTCAACAATAATATTTAAAGTCTATACTAAGAAGTTGTGCAACTAAGAAAAATAAGTGGATCAAGTTTATAATTAAATCTAAAAAATCTTGCTATTACAATTATAAAAGAGGCAAGAATCAATATGGTAAAGAAGTTTGATGGAAAAAGATTAAAATTTTGAGGATTTCTATAATAAGTAAAATTCTATCTAAAGTTGCATTCTTCTCAATATCCTAATAGATTTGTTCAAGTTGGATTTATAGGTGAATTTCTTTCTAAGAGTACTCTCTCTTGGTCTAGATCTTTGATAAAAAAAGATTCATATCTTTTCATTGACTTGAATTTTTTTAGAAGTCTTTATAGCCATTTTTAGAAAAAATAATTAAAAAAATATAGCAGAGACCAAATTAATATCTT